TCCACACTATATTACAGGGGTGGAACCTAAAAGTTATTCTTGTTTATGTGTTCCTTATTTTTTTTCATCTATTTTTAGCTCTTCATCTTCGGTCTCACAGGTGAGTCAGCCTTTGGTGAATCAATGGCCAGAATGCTTTTTATTTTTTTTCTTGCGATTTCAGCATGTATTTGTGCTAGAATTGAGTTTTCTTTTGTGTATAACTAAATTTACTATAAGCTTGACTTAATCACACTTCGGCAATTGCTATTGATCTCTTCGTAACCCCAATACTTCATGAGGCTCGTTTGATAGTTTAGCTATTGAGAACCCATCCTCTGTTGCTAACACAAGTGGTATTGGATGTTGTAGCAGCAGTAGCTCAAGTCAAATCAGCTAACCCAATTCATTAAGAGGCGTAAAACGCTTCGGTACTTCAAAGGGCAAACGAATATCTATGGCACTAAAGCGAGACAGTAACGTCAAAATCCAATATATCTGGCGAATCCTCAAGTAATTTTCGTAGCCAGTCGATACGCATGGGCGACGAACCATCCAAATACAGCATAATTTTCTGCTTTGTAGTGATTTCTCAAAACTTCAATATGTTAGTATGATACTATACAAATAAACATCTTGTTCATACATAGATATTATGCATATGTAAACTGCTATATTTTTTAAACACGCACAAGTATATGCATATATACATATGCTGTAATAAACTACTAATAGTACGCTAAATCACATTTCGTATGGGCTATCCTACTGAAATGTCGTCAAGCTTATTTTAACTTTAATTGCCTAAGTATGTATATTGTAAATCCAATATAGCAGCATTTTGAAGATTATTTTAATAACCAACCTTGCTTTAGGATTAATAAATTATTTCTTTAGTCACTTTTATTTAATAAAGGATTTGCTGGCTTGGATTATCTTTGTCAGATAAGCCAGCCAATCTTACTCAACAGGGTTGAGATAAATCATCCTATTTAAGCATTGCATTATTTTGTGTGAAAAAATGTAAAAGGAAAATGTTTTTATTTCACCTACAATTCTTATTTTGGCTTCTATCTTTTCTGAATTTAAGCCATCTCATCGACGCGCTGGCTTGCAGGACGGGCATCTGTCTCTGAAACAAGGAAAGCTGTCGAAACGAAATCAGGTAAGTAGGAGAAGCGGTCGACGTGGTCGGATTGGCCGGGACTTGAGCGTGAGGCTGCAAGCGACGAAGGAAAGCACTGAGATCCAAGCCATTGAATCCTGTGAGTCAGAAGCCGTTTGCGAAACCCTTCTGTGTGGTGAGACGACGAAATTCATCGCAACGGGTGCCTCTGGGAGCAAGCGACTGTGAGTCCCAT